ATGCAGTGTATTATTTGTTGAAACTGTACTTTCGATTTGATTTGAAACTGTCTCATTGCTATATGTTTATCAATAAAACTTTGAAAAGAAAAAAAAGAAAAAAAAAAGGCCACTTCAGGACGATCAGCAAGGGAATGAAAGCACTTTATAAAGGGAGATGTGCATTTACTTTGGGGTACAATACTGTGGTTTTCCCTTCAAGGTTAATTTGCTGGAGGCTTAGTCCTACTTTAGGTGATGGAACTAGAGTCTAGTGCAAACTAATTTGATCATTGGTGGTACAGTCCTCAGAAAGGACAAGGGACTAACTGGTTCTCAGAGTTAGTTTCATCCACCAGTTATGGTGGCACTGATCTTCCACTGAGCTATATCCCCACACCTTTTAAATTTTGTTTTGAGACTGGTCATACTACATAGCCTAGAACTCAAAATCTTCTTGCCTAACCCTGCTCCCAAGTAACTGCAATTGTAGGCATGCACCATGACGCCTGACCACAAAGAATATCATTTACATCCCTTCACTTTCAGCTTTCATTTGTATATATCCTTAAAGACAAAGCAGATAGCTTTTTTTTTTTTTTCTTTCAGTTCTGGGGATTGAACTCAGGGCCCTGAACTTGCCAGGAAAGTGCTTATTCTACTGAGCCCTGGCCCCTGAAGCAGATATAGGCAATATTTAGTAGATACTTTTTTTGTGTGTGTGGCCAGCTCAACCCACCTTGGGGCGGGGCTGGCATGGCATGTAGTGCCAGGGATCAAACTGCAATCAAATCTGTCATATTTAATGTAACTGTTTTCAAGACTTCAATGGCAGGTATCACAATGCAAGCCTGTAATTTCAGCACTCTGAGAAGCGGAGGCAGAACTGTAAGTATAAGTCCATCCTGGCAACTTTGCAAATTAATTTAAAAGGGCTGGGATGTACTTGGTGTAAAGGTCCTGGGTTCTATCTCCAGTACAAAGGGGAAAAAAAGATTCCAATGGGTTTTCCCCCCTATGGGATGGTAGAGATCAGAGGGAGAACCCTAAAATTTATATTGCATCCTCAAAGACTCTGAAAAGTCAAAGGACTCTTGATTAAGAACAAAATTGGAGGAGTACATTTCAATATTTCAAACTATATTACACAGTTACAATAATTGAAAGAGTATATATTGGCATAAAAAGAGACCAATGAACAGAATGGCTCATAAATAAACTCATGAATATAGTCACAATTCTCAAAAGCAATAGTATTACACAATAGGGAAAGGACAGTCATACAAATGATAGTGCAAAATATGGGTAGATGCATCCAAGAGAAGCAACTGGACCACTTTCAGCACCATACACAAAAATCCATAGTAGGGGGCTGGGGAGATGGCTCAGTAGAATAAGCACTTTCTTGGCAAGCACAAGGGGCTGAGTTCAATCCCTGGTTCTGAAAAACAAAAATCCATAGTAAATAGATTAAAGATTTAAACTTGAAGCAGTCAAACCAGAAAACTAGTAGGAGAAAATAAAAAGCTACCTAACGCTTATCTTGGTAATGATTTCTGAGTGTTCACACCCAAACCATATCCAATGAAAGCAAAAATTAGTGATCCATCCATACCCTTGTTTATAGCAGCACACTTAACAATTAAGTCTTGGAAATAACCTACATACCATCAACAGATGAATAGAAAATGGGATATTTATACACAGTGTAATAATACTCTGCCATAAACAAGGATAAACTTCAATCACTCATAGGTATATGGATGCACTTTTAGCTACTTCTTTTTTCACTTTTTATGTTGGTAAAGGGTCTCCCCACACAGCTTGAACTCGTAGTGATCCTCCTGTTTTCAGCCTCCCCAGAGCTGGGATTATAGGCCTGTACCACCACACCCAGACTCTGTAGCAGGCTCAGCATGCCCCGGGGGCGGGGCCAGTGAGGAATGAAGAACTGGGAATCAAACCCTGGTCCCTGCGCTTGCCAAATCAGGTGCTTAGTCTGCTGAGCGACCTTGCTGGCCCTATACTTTTTGTGTGTGGCAGTCTCAGCCCACCCTGGAGGAGAGGCTGGTAGGCATGTGGTGCCAGGGATCGAACCACAGTCCCTGTGCTTGCCTAAGCAGGTGCTTTAGACAGCGGAGCTATCTCACCAGCCCTAGCTACTTTAAATAGATTAGAAAGAATAAACAAATACTTCATAGTTTCTCTTATATGAGAAACTAAAATTATAAACAAACAGCAAAATAAAAGATAACAGGAAGTAGTGGAGATCTTTTTCAAATGTGAAGGAGTGGGGCTGGAGAGATAGCTCAGTAGAATAAGTGCTTGCCTGGCAAGCGCAGGGTCCTGAGTTCAATCCCCAGTACTGCATTAAAAAAAAAATGTGAAGGAGAACAAGAGATGAAGGGACAGGAAGGGAAGGGAGATAAAGGAGATGAAAAAAAAGAAAATGGAAATAGAGCTTTTGAAAGTGGGAATGGGGCTAAGACCTGGAAGGACCAGAGGAAATGGGAGGAGTCGGGGATGAAAAACAGAATTAAGATGTATCATGTAGACTTATCAACTCCCCACAATAAATTTAATGATTATATACTGCAAGCATGTACTTATTAAAATGGTAGCAAAAAAAGCAAAAGTAAGTCTAATTACATCAGAGTAAAATGTTCTAGCAAAGCAAACAAAAAATGAAAAGATAAAGAATGGAAAAACACTTGTGTAACATATAAATGATGACAGGTAAATATCCAAAGTACTTAGGGAATTCATGTTACTGGGTAGAAAAAAAAACTTTAATCTAAAAATAGATTTTAAAAAACCCAGAATAGGTATTTCCCCAAATGACACAAATGGCTAAAAGGTATATAAAATACATTCTAAACTAGGAGCCACCAGAAATATATAATGGAAAAATCACAATGAGATATCTAGCACCCCACAAATTAAGAGAGTTATCTTTTAAAAAAAAATCAAGAGACTGTGATGCCAGATGCTCAGAATCTCATGAGGACTACAAGTTAAAGGTCAACTTGGGCAACTTAAAGAAACCTTGTCTCAAAAAATGAAAAAAAAAAAAAAAAAGGCTATGGTAGAGGACTTGTCTAGCATGTATAAGAGTCTGGATTTGATTAGCAGTACTACAAAATGATTAAAAGTGCTAAAGGAACTAGAACCCTGTGCATCACTGATGGCAATATAGATTTTTATGGTCATTATGGAAAAGTATGGAATTCACTCAGAATATTACCAGTGAAACTATATCATCCAGCAAACTCACTTCTGGGTATATATCCAGGGAAATAAAATAAGTACCTACAATATCTGCATGTCTATGTTCACTGCAGCTGTACTTTTAATAGGGTCTTGCTGTTACCCAGGCTGCCCTCAATCAATCCTCCTACCTCAGGCCCCAGCAGGTGTAACTAGTGGACTAATGGCATGTGCCAATGTGCCCAACTCAATGGCAATAGTCTCCCCTACCTCCATAGTAAGAATTGAACCCAGGGCCTTGTGCCTTCCAGGCAAGGCACTCCACGATATCCCCAGCCCAGGAGCTCTATTCTTAATAGCCAATAATAACTCTCTAATAATCTAAGTGTCCTTTGATACTTGAATAAAGAAAATGTAAGCCAGATCAATATGGATATAGATATAGCTACCACCTTAGGAAAAAGTAGTTCTGCCATCCACCATGACAAATGAACCTGGATGACATTATGTTACATGAAATGAGCCATACAAAAATGGCATGACCTCAATTATAAGTGGATTTTAAAACATCCATGGCAGCAGTATTTGAATAATGGTTAAAAGAGAAGTTCTGAATCGGGAGAAAAAGATCAGTAGTAGGATGTATAAGTACTCAGGACATATAGCCTATAGTTGTTACTTGAAATTTAAGCCAACGGTGTTTTCATGACATGATATGACAAATAAAAGATAAGTATGGGGCAAAAAAATTAAATAAAAGGTAAGTATTGGTGCAGATGGCATACTCAGTGACAGAGTGATATGTTACTATAAAAGAGTCTCTGTTGGATCCCCAGCACAGGGAGGTAAAAATCTATGTGTTGGTGGGAGTAAGTATGTGAGATAACAGACATATTAATCAGATTGAGTATATTTATCATTTCACATTCTTAATATGTACTACACATATGGTTGTGTACCTGATGCAATACAATACTTAGTTATGAAACATTTCAATAGATGTTAAAAAATGAATTATGACTTAAGTGGGAATTTATAATTTAAGTAATAAACCATATATTACAATTTATGAAATGTTAAGAGCATTCAAAATATATCTATAGAACCACCTAGAAGTTCATGTTTATGTCAATATATAAGATTTGGGCACCCATGGAGATATTTACTATATTCCATACTATGCAGTTTCTCTTTGGTGTGAATCACATTTGCTAAAGGTTGAATAATATGTAAAACAAACAAAAGACATCCCAACATTTCTTTTTTAATATAGATTTATTTATTTATTTGTTTATTTATTTATTTATTTATTGGCGGAACCAGGGATTGAACTCAGACCCTTGTACTTGCCAGGCAAGTGCTTATCTACTGAGCTATCTCCCCAGCCCGACATACCAACATTTCAATTTTTTTTTTTTAACAACTGGGGGTAGAATCCAGGATCCTATGCATGCTAGAAAAAGGTTCTACCACTGAGGTGTACTCTCAGTACTTTCAATTTTATTTTGGGACAAGGTCTCCATAAGTTGCCTATGTTGGACTCCATTTTATAACCCTCCTGTTTAAACCCTCCAATTAGCTTGGATAACAGATATTTGCCATGACTTCTGGCAGGGATAAACATTTCTTAATGTATTTTCTTTATTCTTTACATACAAAGAATTTTTCTCCAGTGATTACGTTCAGCAAAATGAGAAGAATGAAGGCATTCCAACATTCCTTGTATTTGGAGAGTTTATATCCAGTGTGAATTCTTACATGATTTTGTAAGTATAAAGCAACAGTAAAGGCTTTCCCACATTCCTTACATTCACAGGGCTTCTCCCCAGTAGGTGTTTTTAAATGCTTAGTAAGGCCTAAGTGCTCAGTGAAGGCTTTCCCACAGTTTGTACATTCATAGGGTTTCTCTCTAGTGTGTGCTTGCATGTGACTACAAAGGTTGGAGGAACACTTAAATGCTTTGCCACACACTGTACAGTCAGAGGGCTTCTCTCCAGTGTGAGTTCTCAAATGTACATTAAGACATGAAGAGGAAGCAAAGGCTTTCCCACACTGGTCACACTCAAAAGGTTTCTTTCCTGTGTGACTTCTAGGATGTTCAATAAGGTGTGAGGAAGTAGTGAAGGCTTTACCACAGTCTTTGTACTTGTATGGCTTCTCCCCCATGTGAGTCAGCACATGTGTGGCAAAGCCAGTATGCCCAGTAAAGACTTTCCCACAGTCTTTCCACTTGTATGGTTTTAGTCCAGCGTGAATTTTAAAATTTTAAAGTGTTTCTTTCTTATTTTTCTTTTTTTTTTTTTTTTTTTTGCGGAACTGGGGATTGAACTCATACCCTTGTGCTTGCCAAGCAAGTGCTTATTCTACTGAGCTATCTCCCCAGCCCCAAGTGTTTCTTAACACATGAGGAGTTTCTAAAGGATTTTCCACACACCTGACATTTAAAAGGCTTCTCACCAGTGTGAGTTTCTACATGTTCAGCAAGTTGAGGAAAGCTAATGAAGGCTTTCTCACATTCCTGACACTGATAGGGCTTCTCCCCAATATGTATTCTTAAGTGTTTAGTAAGACATGAGCACTCAGTGAAGGCTTTCCCACATTCCTTACATTCATAGGGCTTCTCACCAGTATGAATTTGCACATATCTGTGGAGGTAGGAGGAATGTGTAAATGCTCTTCCACATACTGCACACTCAAAGGGCTTTTCTCCAGTGTGAGTTCTCAAATGTGCAGTAAGATATGAGGAAGATGCAAAGGCTTTCCCACACTGGTCACAACCACCATAGATTACAGGTGTTAATGTTCCAAATCTCTGCTGTGTCCTATTATACTCAGAGTAAAAGTGACAGATCCTTGAACAAAGTACATAATATATCTCTATTCCCTATGTAGCCACAAGGAATAGTGGCAGTTTTACCAACTGTGGCCAGATTCTCATAGTTCTCCAGCATTACATCTCTGTAGAGGTTTTTCTGTACTGGGTCCAGTAAAGTCCATTCATCCTGGCTGAAGTCCACAGCCACATCTTCAAATGTCCCCAAGTTCTAAATCATCACATACATTAGTTTGAGCGAAATAATACTTCCACCAATGTTCACTGGTGAATGAAGTAACCCCAGCGCTTGTTAAGGAGCCTATGGCCTCCTACATCCTACCCTAGGATGCAGTGGTCCTAGGAGATCTCTGTATCCACACTCTCTGCAATCATATATGTATCTCTTCCAAACATATAGCCCTTAGAACCTCCTGTTTGTAAACTTGTAACACCAAAATTAGGAGCTTTGCTCATCCTATTTCTCTATATTGCTTCCCACTCCTGAACATGAGACAAAGACTTCATAAATGGTGATATATGAAAAGTTATTTTAGGAAGGATACTATCATCTTCCTTACCATCTATTTATCAGAGCACTCAGAAAAATACATAGTCAAACCACTTTGACAATAACAATACACAATATATTAACCACTGGGCCAGCAAGATAGCTCAGCAGTCTAAAGCAACTGCTTAGGAAAGCTTAGGCAGGTGCAAGAGACCACAGTTTGATCCCCAGCACCACATGTGATGCCAGCCCCACCACCAGGGTGGGCTGAGATGGCCAAAAAAAAGAAAAAGAAAGAATGTAAGATTAACCACTGTTAATTCCTTTTTTATCTTATTTTGAAATTCTGTATGATTGTTTTTCTCTTTAAAATAAATAACCAGCACCCAAAAAGTTAAGATTAGACATTTACTAAAATATTGATATGATTTTCAGGGAAATCCTTCACCTATGTGATGGGCACACCCTATTAGGGAAGTTCAAATAGGGACTTACTCTTTTTTTTCTTGGCAGTACTGGGGATTGAACTCAGGACCTTGTGCTTCCTGGGCAAGTACTTATTCTACTGAACTATCTCCCTGGCTCCACTTACTCTTGATATATATCTTTGCTTTGCGGGGAGGGGGTTCTGATGACCTCTAGAGACAAGTCTACCTATAAGGAAATACAATTTGTTGGTTGCTCCAATCACATCATTTGTGGGAAGAATATAAGTTTCATGCTAATTGTGGATATCCCTAAATTTATCCCTATGAAAGTATCACTTTAAAAAAAAAGAGAGAGAGATTTGGCATGGTGGTATGTACCTGTAACCCCAGCTCTTGGGAGGCTGTAAACAGGCGGATCACTACAAGTGTGATCTAGTAGTAAGACCCTGAACACCCTGTAGACCCTTCCCTAAAATACAAAAAAGAAAAGAAAGTATCACTTCGGAGATATTGCTGTACCTTATTTCTCAAGTATTTTTCCATGTCCTGTTTCTCTATAATGGAATTGCTAATCTTCTCTGTCTATAGAAAACAAAAAATACACTTTGTTAAATTTACCATCTGTGTCCCATGGGAAGTGTATTCCTTCAACAAATCCTGTTGAAGTGCTGACCTTGAGTTTTTAGTCACATTTCTTACTCTGAAATTGAACAAGGAAAAACTTAGCTTTGAATTTAATATAATGGTGAATCTGCTTATATTTATCCTCAAGATAAACACAGCAAGAAGAGAAAAGCAATTTTGAAGATTTCAACTATGTAAAAATTACACAACAAGGATAAAATTCAAAATTTTAAATATGTTAAAAATTGACTCTGTAAGTAAACACTGATGATAAATCAAAAGAATTTTATCAGAGAAATACAATAAGAAATATCTGGGGCTGGCCAAATAGCTCAGTGGATCAAAGTGCCTGCTTAGGCAGACGCAGTGGCCAGGGCTCAATCCCTGGCTTACTGTGCCGGCCCCAACCCCAAAGTGCGCCAAGATGGCAATTGAGACTGAGCATGGTGGAGCATGCCTATAATCCCAGCTCTTTGGGAGGCTGAACACAGACTGATCACTATGACTCTGATTACATAGTGAGACCCTGAAGACCCCTCCTAAAAAAATAAAAAAAAAAGTCTGAACAAGTATCATCAAAATAAGCTAGAAAGACAGACTGCAAGCAATAGAATAGAGGAAGCTAAAGATAATCTAACTTCTGAAACAAATAACATCTACTTTCTGAGAAAAAATACCTTTAAAAGTTTCCTCATTATACTCCAAAACACACAGGTAAGGAAACATAAACTCTAAGAAACATGACTCAATTTGCCTAGTTATGAATGAGATTTTGTAGCACATCTTCCCAAAACAAAGATACACAAAGCTGACTTATAAAATATCCTTCTGTTTGACTTGAGGATTTCACAAATGAAACCACAGTGTGGTTATTCTGGCCCAGATTCTGGGCTCTATACTTGCAGGGAAGACTTAAATCAGATTCCTAAAAAGTAAAAGTAACATGACTTGTTATAGAACAAATTGATTGCACCCATCTTATAAGTCTAGGTAAAATACATGTGATCTCACTCCTCTGATTCTAAGGACAAATCAGGACAGCATATATGGTCCACTATCAACTAGTGAGAAAATGGAAAACTGTCTTCGATGTTAGTAGGTTTGTCCCTAAAATCTGATCTTGAACATCATTAAACTCTAAAATGATCACCATATATAGGACTCTGGAAGATATCCCTGGATTACCTAAAATACGATCTGCTTCTCACAACTAGGCATTAGATCCAGAATGTCAGTTTTGCTAACAATCAGAATACAACTCAGGTGTCAGGCATGGTGGTACATACCTGCAAACTAAGCACTTAGGAGGCTGAGTCAGGAGTACTGCCAGAAGTTTGAGGCCAGTCTGGGATACATAGTGAGTTCAAGGCCAGCCTGAACAACATAGTGAAACATGTCTCAAAAAATAATACAGATGGGGCTGGGGAGATGGCTCAGTAGAATAAGTGCTTCCCTGGCAAGTGCAAGGGCCTGAGTTTAATCCCTGGTTCCATAAAAAAAAAAAAAAAAAAAAGATAAAAATAAAACAGAAGAATACACTCAACTACTGCCTAGTTCACAAGGGTCTCAGAAACATTGAGTGCTCGGGCTGGAGAGATGGCTCAGTGGAATAAGTGCTTCTCTGGCAAGTGCAAGGGCCTGAGTTCAATTCCCGGTTCCACAAAAAAAAAAAAAAAAAGAAAGAAAAGAAAAGAAACACTGAGTGCTCTAAGCTATGCTTGGTATGCACAGCAGACAGCAGAAAGTATCTACAGGGTCAGCAACACAATTAAGTTTAAAAAAACTTGAGTATTTGGTAGGTCATTTCAAGGAAATACGTTATGCTATTATTGATTATCTCTTTTCTTCTACTTTTACTTCTATTTTTATTTATTCCTCCCTTCAACTGCCTTTAATTTATATATTAAGAAAATTGGGCCAGGGAGATGGCTCAGTGGAATAAGTGCTTCCCTGGCAAGTGCAAGGGCCTGAGTTAAATCCCTGGTTCCAGTCGCCAGCTCCGAGCTCCGCACGCACCGCTAGCACCTTCTTCGCTCCAGGGCAGCCCCACCCACCTGAAGCCAAGATGTCCAGCAAGCAAGCCAAGGCCAAGACCACCAAGAAGCAGCCACAGCGAGCTACATCCAATGTCTTCGCCATGTTTGACCAGTCCCAGATCCAGGAGTTCAAGGAGGCCTTCAACATGATTGACCAGAACCGAGATGGCTTCATTGACAAGGAGGACCTGCATGACATGCTGGCCTCACTGGGGAAGAATCCCACAGATGAGTACCTGGAGGGCATGATGAGCGAAGCCCCGGGGCCCATCAACTTCACCATGTTCCTCACCATGTTTGGGGAGAAGCTGAATGGCACAGACCCTGAGGATGTGATCCGCAACGCCTTCGCCTGCTTCGATGAGGAGACTTCAGGCTTTATCCATGAGGACCACCTACGGGAGCTGCTTACCACCATGGGTGACCAATTCACAGATGAGGAAGTAGACGAGATGTACTGGGAGGCACCCATCAACAAGAAAGGCAACTTCAACTATGTGGAGTTCACCCGCATCCTCAAACATGGCGCCAAGGATAAAGATGACTAGGCCTCCCAGCTCACAGTGCCTGGCCCCACCCCATCACTACTCCCCACGCACTTATCCTGACTAGCTCCATGTCCCTAAGACCCCACCACCCTCTCTGTGGATTCCCAGAGAAGGAAATGGGCCATGGGAAGCACAGGACCAGGCAGAGAGGGCATACAGGCATCGTGAGGCAGGTGCTCCACCATGACACAAGAGACCCAAGGGTGTTCCTGAGCCCCGCAGCAAAGGACCATTGTCTGAGGAGAGGAGCCAGAAGGCAGGAGGCACAGGAGAAGGTCCCTTGAGAGAGCCCAGGCATTGGTCATGGCCTGTCCACTCCTGGGATGACCACCAGCCCCAGGAAGAAGGGCCGCTGTACCCTGGTGTTGCACACACTACTCCATGCGCATCCCCGTATAAGCACATGCGCTCACCACTGCCCTGCTCAGAGCCAGGGCAGCAGTCCCCTCCCCATGCCATCAGCTCTCAGAGCACAGAGCACAGCACCCCATGTCACACCCAGGAGTGAGCTCCAGGAGGCTGGACAAAGAGGGACGTCGTCCCCCGAGGGAGGTAAAGTCTTCAATAGAAGGTTGAGCACTGAAAAAAAAAAAAAAATCCCTGGTTCCACCAAAAAAAAAAAAAAAAGAAAAGAAAGAAAGAAAGAAAAAAGAAAAGAAAAATGCAGTAAATACCATCAACCACAGAAATAATCAAACAGCCAAAAGACTCTGGGAACTCAAAGACAGGGTATTTTAGAATACAAAAACAGGAGAAAGATGAAAAATGAAGAAACTTTATGGTATTCATGGAACAGAATCAAAACTAC